AACACTGAGGTCTCCCCACCCAGGAAGTGCTGAAAACACGTTAACCACCCTGGGCCCCTCTGCAGCGCCCCACCACACTGCCGCCTCTCCCAGCCAGTCCAGCTCTCTCAGCCTGTGCCTCTGACCTGATTCTAGGGTGGAGCAGCTTGTGAATCCTGAGGCGTTGTTCAGCCTCCTTTCCTGCCGTTTACTGCGCTCTCCCTCTAGTGTTTGCTTTCTGAGATTATCAAAGCCACCTCTGTCCACCAGCGGCTCACACTGACAGTGATACGTCATTGTGGGAAAGCAGCCATAGGACAGCACGCTAGCTACAGAAGATTGTTATGAAGACTGTAACACACCAGTGCTTCCTCAAGCCTGTGGGAGGAGCTGGCAGAGTAGTGCGCTCCGACTTTCTGCTTCACCTCATACCCCAGTTGCTCCCAGGGCCACCTCCTTGTTCCTGCTCTTGCCCTTGCTCTCCACATTGTGGTCTCTCCTGACTCCTGGTCTCCACCCAGCCCGTCTATATTGGTCACCCACCCTGTGGAGCCAGCCTTTGTCTGTTAGTGGAACTTGACATCTGTTTCGTTGTTTACAAATGAGTAGAGGTCTTGCCCCCCTGCCCTGTCCACTCCTCACCTGGATACATTTCCCAGAGAATCACACTTGGGTTGTGGCTACCTAAGTAGGAGCTGACATCCAGATTCTTCATCTCAGACTGGAGAGGACGGCGGCATAACCTTGGCCTGAGGAGGGTGTGACCACACATAACTTGGCACAGTGCCCTGTTTGTTGGCCTTATTCTCGTCTTCCATGAGACCTGCTCAGAAAGCAAAAATCAGTTTTGTTTTCAGCTACAATTGAGCTTTGCCACAGGGAAAGTTGACCCCACTGAGCAGCCGGTATCTGAAGGCTTCTGTGGAGGGAAGGTCTGAGAGGTGATAGACCCAGGTTTAAAGCAGCTTCCTCCTGCCTGCAGGTAGCCTTCACAACTACTTATCTTCCAGTGCTTCAGGAAAAGGAGCTGACGCCACCTTATAGGTGAACACACCGGGGTAAGGAGCTGGTGTGCGCCAAGCCTGGCACCCCAGAGTGTGATGTTGTCGTCTTTGTTGGCACCAGCTCTGCAGCATGGTTTAACCTGTGGTTGCCTCCCTATCCCCACACTGAACCTGTCTTCCGGAGCCCTCCTCCAGCTTCCCCAGGTGTCTCTGAGGAGCTCCAGCTGGCCAAGCCCAACGGGCACTGCTGGCTCGCCTGGAAGATATGTCTAAAACTGTGTAACAGGCCTGGCCAGACTTAGGAAGCCATGACACTGGGCCTCATGGCCTGTAAATATCTTCTGCATACATCTTGGCCTGTGACATTTAGCACAGGCTCAAGAAAAGGATCATTTTGGTATAGGTCAGCTCGTTTAATTCTTTTTAAAAATGTTATTAGTTTTATTTACTTGTGTATTTATTTTGTGGGGAGGGAGCTTGTGCAAGTGCCATGTATACCTGCAGGGGTCAGAGGACATCTTGTGGGACAGCTGTCTTTCCATCACGAGTCCAAGGACGTGAGCTCAGGTTGCCTGGATTAGTGGTGAGTGAATGCCTTTGCCCTCAAACCCACCTTGCTAGTCCGCCTCATTCCATTCTTTGGGTGTTGCTTTGTGTATGTGACTTTTTTTTTTTTTTGAACAGGGTTTCCTCTGTGTAGCCCTAGCTGTCCTGGTATTTATTCTCTAGACCAGGCTGGCCTTGAACTCACAGAGATCCTCCTGCCTCTGCCTCCTGAATGCTGGGATCAAAGGTGTGCGCCACCACAGTGCTGTTCTCATTTCAATCTTAACATGGTCCTTCAAGGTGGCTGCCATGGCCCCTGGTTTTTTTTGTTTGTTTGTTTGTTTGTTTGATGTGTGTGTGTGTAAACTTATTTATTTGATGTCTGTATACCACATGTGTGCCTGGTGCTCGAGGAGGCCAGAAGAGGGCATCAGATCCCCTGGGACTAGATCAAGCTGTCTCTTGATAGTTGGTTAGGAGCCCTGTAGTGCTGGGAATGGAACATGGATCTTCTGGAAGAGCAGCCAGTGCTGCTAACTTTGAACCTCCTCTCCAGCCTGTTTTGATACAGCATCTTGCTCCGGACTGGTCTTGAATACTCGCCCTCTTGCCTTACCTCAGTGCTAGGAATGCAGGCTTGTACCGCCATCTCCCTCTTCTAACTGCTGCTTTAGAAAAGATGAAATACAGCTGGGCGGTGGTGGCGCACGCCTTTAATCCCAGCACTCAGCGGGCAGAGGCAGGGGATGGGATCTCTGTGAGTTCGAGGCCAGCCTGGTCTATAAGAGCTAGTTTCAGGACAGGTTCCAAAGCTACAGAGAAATCCTGTCTCAAAAAAAAAAAAAAAAAAAAAAAAAAAAAAAAAAAAAAAAAGAGAGGGAGGGAGGGAGGGAGGGAGGGAGAGAGAGAGGGAGGGAGGAAGGAAGGAGAGAAAAGATGATGAGCTAGCTCCAGGAAGGAATGAGAAGCTCACGGCCACAGCTAGGAAGAGGGAAGGGGTCAAGCATGGGCTCTCATTTGCCTCCAGAGCCCTGCTGGTGACAACAGAGTGTGATCTGTAATACTGGCTGCCTCAACACTAAGAAAAATAACTAGGACTTAATTTTTCTGAGCTTCTAGTTTTACTTTTAATTACTTCTATTTTTTAATTTACTTCTATCTTTAATTTTAATTAATTTGTGTATCGGCATATGCTTGTGCACTTGAGCGCAACGCCCAAGGAGGGCAGAAAGAGTACGCGATCACCCAGGGCTGGAGCTATAAAGAGCTGCCAGCGGCCCATGTGAGACTCTTGACCACGGAGCCACCTCTCCAGCCCTACAAGTTTCTTTGGCTGAAAACCCAATGGTCTGCCTGAAACTTAGTAGTCTCCTTCCTGTCTGTCTGTTATTTAAACAATGACTTTACTTACACCGAAATGGTGCTTCTAGTTGAGGAAAGCGCGACATCATAGGAGAGAGTAATGAAAGCTGATTTCTCTCCGGGCACATCCCTGTAGTCCCAGCCACTTTGAGGACTGAGGCAGGAGGATCCCTCGAACTTAGGTGTTTGAAACCATCCTGAGTAGTAGAGTAAGAACAAGGAGGTTCACCTCTCCTGCCTTCCACCCTGGTAAGCTACTCCCAATGTGAAAGCGAGGCAGCTCAACTGGGAAATTCCTCTGTGAACAGAAAGCCCAGTCAGACATTCCCAGGCCCAGGCCACAGTGCACTGCCTTCCCACATCACACCAAATACTGGTGAAGGTGTGCCCATCACAGCGACACCAACCTACAAAACGATGACAAGTGTCAGAGTGACATTTAAGAATTCAGGGAGGAAATCAGGACAGGAATGGTCTTACACCACACAGGAAGCGTGTCACAAGTCTCGAGTTTTTTATTTTCAGAACAGAGTCTGGTTTTATTTTTAAAAAGAGGGAAAAAATGTGATAAATGCTAGCGAGGTGCCGCTTCTCTGTTTCTTCTGGGCTCGAGTTCCCAGCTCTGCTCCCCACACACCCGGGCCTGGTTCCCAGCATGTTGGACAGGAAAAGCCTTGATTGGACAAAGCAGTGCACACCTGTTTCCTAGGGAGGCTGAAGTAAGAGGGCCACCTGAGCCCCAAGATTCTAGGACAGCCTTGGGAACACAGTGAGACAGCACTCAAAGACATTTTTAAAGGGTGGGTGCAAGTCTCTAGAGAGAGCGCAGTCTTTAGATTAAGACTCTGCGATAGAGATGCAGCCCAGGAGGCTTCGCTAGCATTGCCACGCGTGCTTGAGGCCCTGGGCTTGCTTACTCCTCAGCATTGCAAAGAAATTAACTCCTCTTTAGAAACAGGTACCATTCGGAACACAGGTAATAAGCCCTCCCCTTCCAGGCTCACCTGCTAGGAGCAGGCAGAGCTAAATTCTGAGCCCAGGCTTCTTTCCCATGATCTGTTCTTCTGGTCCAAGCCTCAGGACAGTGTACTGTCCTGGTCATGACACGTTGGGGACGTCTCAAGTATGATCCCTATCTACAGACACCCTAGAAAGCAAGAGGGGGGAAGGGCCTTAAGGGTCACGTGTGAATGGGACAGGGAAATGAGTAAAAAGACCCAAAATAAATACATCAGAAGGAAGGAGCCGGCCCCCTGGGCACAAAGGACTCAGAGAAGACGTGGAAGAGGAGGCTGGAGAGGCGCTGGGCCCTCACTAGGCCCTCACGGTCCTGGCCTCTGTCACAGTGGCCATGCGCTCATGTCTCTTGATGTGCTAGGGAGATGGCAGCCTTCCATCCTAAATCCAGTGGCAGTCTCTCAGCAGCAGACAGCAGTCACACAGGAGAGGGATGGCTATCCAAACAGTAGAGGGAGGGTGGGTTGGGGGCCAGACAGAGCCGGCCATGGCTCAGACATAATTTCTTTTCACAGTCATTGAAATTAGGTAGCGAGAAACACAGCGAAGCTGGAGAACAAATAGGGAGGAGTGGGAGGAGCTGCAGCCCCAGCCAGGGCTCAGGCTCAGGACTGCGAGTCCAATCAGGAGAGGAGTCATCCGGGGTGAGGAGGAAAGGCAGGTGTGTTGTGCAAAGCAGCCGGTCAGCCAGCACCGGCTGAGGGTGAGAGACCAGAGGCAGAGGCGAAGAACTCACGGACTGTAAACATCCTTCACATGGCCGCTCAAAGAACTGGGTAGGCCCCCCCCCCGAGAGGCAGGAAGGCCCCCCTGAGAGCCGGGCAGCCCCCCCCCCCCAGAGCTGGGGCTCCAGCCAAGTTCAGCCGCTCCTGTTTCCATCCACATAGATATCCTCAGCCCACAGCCCCAGGCAGTTGAGGAAGAGGAGCCCTTGGTTCTCAGAAGGTCTTAATAGAGCCAAAGGGGATGAGGGACTTGCGCCAGGTTGCTGAGTTAGTAGTCAGTGACTTGGCACTTTGGGCCTACCCCTGTGCTGTGGGCTTCAGAGGTCAGCATCAATGGGCCCTGCAATGCCTGTCCCCCAACCTAGTCTGCTAACCTCCCTTCAGCTCCCCCAAGACCAGATGCAAGGCAGGAGGAGGACTGTCCTCAAGTCCACCCTGGATAGCTCATCTCAAGTCTGCCTCCAATGGCAAAACTATGCCCAGAGCTTTCAAGTTCCAAACTCAAAGAATATCATCCTAGAAAGGTAACTGAAGCTGGGCATGGTGGTGCATGCCTTTAATCCCAGCACTCGGGAGGCAGAGGCAGGTGGGTCTCTGTGAATTAGATCGAGGCCAGCCTGGTCTACAAAGTGAGTTCCAGGACATCCAGGACCGTGGTACAGAGAAACCCTGTCTCGAAAGACAAAAAAAAGAAAGAAAGGAAGAGGGAGAGAAAGAAAGGTAACTGGGGCCTAGAAAATAAAAAGAACATAGCATTCAAATCTAGCAAATGACAGGCAGAACAGATCACAGCCCCTTGTCTAGGTTCATTACACCACACAAAACTCCCAAAACAAAGGGGAGGGGAACCAAGATTCTTCAGGTTCCCCCACACACACCCAATCCGCTGTGGGGGTGATTATATCCTGACCTTGCTCCCTAGGCTTCTGACCCTTGACTCCCCTCAGAACCCTTATCCTGCATTAGAGATTCCAAGGGTAACATCCCCTGTCAAGACTAGAGTAACCAACCCTGACTTTCCTTGAAGGACAGCCCTAAGGAGAGCTTCACCGTGAGGGCCCCGTGGGAGAAAGCTGGGCCAGGAGGGTCCCGCAGCAAGACTTCTCCCTGAGGAGACCTGAGCAGAGGAGAGAAGAAAGGTCACCGCCCTCTCCGCTCTATGCCGAGCTCTCCAAAAGAGCAGGTGGCGTCCCGGAGGGTCCCTAAGACCTCACACACCTTTGACCCAGTAAAGCAGGCGCTCTGAACCCAGTTCCAACCCAGCCAGTACCAACAGAGGCAGGATAAGAATTCTGGTGCCAAAGGAGGAACCGAAAGAGCGAGCCAATGGCTGATACTCCACAGACCCTGTAATATCTGGTACCAAACCCCAAAGGGATTCAGTGTCCATGTTGAATGCAACTTCTGAGTGGATTTTGTTTTGTTTTCGCGAGCAGCATCAATGTGTGATGGGATGAAAATCGAAAGCACAGAGGTAGAAATACACACTCACCCAAGAAAGGGCATCGCTGGGTCCTCACAGCAGAGACCCTCTCCTCCCCAAGCTGAGAACAGGAGCAGGAGTGAGGACGACCCTGGGTGAGCTTCTCCCTTGGAGTGTGGCAACTGAACAACTCCTGGGCATCCCGGTCATATCCCAGGTGGCATGTGGGGGGGGGCAGCAAGACCTCCCTAGATCGCCTTCCCACTGCAAGGGGCATGGGACAGACATCCAGAGAAACACCACACACACACACACACACACACACACACACACGCATGCACGCACGCACACACACACTTCATCTACCGAAGCCTACCATCCCTGCCTGAACACCCCCTTCCTCCAGTCTCCCCCACAGAACGAAGGCAAGAAGAGCAGGTGGCACATTCATCCAGTCCTTTGAATGTCAGAACAGGCAAGACTTTGGAGAAGGACCATGGTGAATATGGACCCTCCTCCCTCACAATATATTGCTGGTCTCCCTCCAAGTAGTCTCCACCCATAGGGTGCAGAAGAATTCGCTGGCCATCAGCCTTATCAACAGTGACCTTTTCTAAACACAGCCAAGGAGGCCGGAAACTCTCAAGCCAAGAACAGAGCCCCTGCCCTTCACCTTTTTCAGTTCTGAGAGGCCACAGCTAGAGTGTTGACATAGCCATGAGGACCCCCTTCATTTTCCAAGTGGCCCCGCTGGGACCCTCCCTGAGGTGGCGGTGGTGGAGGTGGTGGGGGGGCAGAGGGAGGAGCACCATAGCTGCTTCTGGCCCGACTTGGGGAAACCCAACTCCCTCGGTCCCAGCAGCCTTCCAAGGCCTCCAGGCCTCGGCAGCCAAGGAAAAAGAGGTTTTTGAGCATGAAGATGGACAGCGGCTGTTGGTAGCTCACGACCAAGAGGCTGCGCAGCGCCAGCAAGGGCACGTCCACCAGGCAGCCGCCCAGCAAGCGCAAAAGGCGGCTGCAGCTTCCAGGCCCGGAGGCCTGGCCCCAGGACGGAGCTGCTGCGGTGGTGTTCAGCTCGTACAGCCAGAGCACTGGGGAGGCAAGCGTGAGGAAGTAGACGGCGATGAGCAGGTAGCGCAGGTGCGCGGGAAGCGGCACACGGCCGTCCAGCATCAGCTCCACCAGCGTGAAGCTGTCCAGCAGGTCCAGACACGTGCCCAGGAAGCAGCCCGCAGCGCGATGCTGCTGTGGCTGCAGGAGCAAGGGACCCGCCGAGCCCGGGGGCGCGCCCGCCTCGCTGATGGCACGCACCAGGCTGTAGAGCAGCGGCACGGACAGAGCCATGGTGAGGCGGAAGCCCGTGGTGCCAAAGGGCGCTCGCAGCTCGATGAGGTCCAGGATAGACGTTCCCAGGATGAGCACAACCTTAGGAGTGAAGGCGATGGAGTAGATGAGCCAGGCCAGGTAAGCAAAGGCGAACTCGCCCACCGCCCCGGCCGGCCCTGGCCCGGCCCCCGAGCCTCCTCGGCCCCCGCGAGCCTTAGCCCCGGCCCCCGCGGACGCCGCAGTCGGTAGGTGCAGAGGCGGCGCCGAGTGGTGGTGGAGCTGATGGTGGTTGTGCGCGCTGCTTGCTGGACCGCCCCGACGGCCCCGGCTGTTCTTGGCGAAGAAGATGGCCCAGCCCACCACCACCACCAGGTCAGTGGCGATCCAAGAGCACCAGTACAGGTCGGTGACGGCGATGAGATACAGGTCCAGCAGACCACCCTGAGCCAGCAGCAGCACCACAGACAGCGCCTGGTAGCCCCAGCGGCATCCCGGGCTCGGCAAGCAGCCGTGGCGCCGACCCCTGCGGCCGGGCCTGGAGGGGCGGCCGCAGCAGCAACAGCAGCAGGAGCAGCAGGAGGCACCTCCGCCCGTCCCGGTGCCGCCTGCGCCCGCCGCTGAGCGGCTCCCGGGACCCCCGACGGCCCCGGTTGCGGCGCTCGCGCCAAAGTCCACGGCGGTCATGCTGCAGGAGGAGGTGGGCGTGGAAGTGGAGGAGGCGGCGGCGGGCGCGGTGGCGGAGACCGGGGCGCCCCCTTGAGCCGGGGGCCCCGGGAGCGCGGCGGCGGCGGCGGGCACCAGTGGCTTGCTGATGCTAATGCTCTCGTCGTCGTCCTCTCGCTCCGCGCCTGTGCTGCTGCTAGGGGAGCCGCCGCCCCCGCCGCGTCTGCCGCCGCCCCCACCGCGGCTGGTGCTGGTGCTGGTGCTGCTGTCTCCCGAGCCTCTCCGGCCGCGGGAGGAGCCCCCCCGGAGGAAGAGGGGCTGCAGCCGGGCGGCGGCGGGGGGCAGCGGGAAGGAGGCGGGCGCGGACGAGAGCGCGCGAGGGTGGCCCAGCGCCGGGTGCATTGTCCTCGGAGGGGCTCCCGGGGCTGCTGGGCCGCTCTCTCCCCCGCCAACCTCGGGCTGACGAGGCGGCCGAGGGAGCCGGGGCCAGCCGCTGCCGCCTCCTTCCCAGCTGCTGGAACTCGCACCCGGGTCGGGTGGCAGCGAGATCCGGACTGGAGCGGCCGGACTGGGCGAATGGAGACGCGGGTGGCTTGCGAGGCGGGGGTGCGAGAGAGGAGCCGGGGAGCCGAGCGGACCGCCGGGACTCTCGGAGAGGCGGGGGCGGAGGCGGGGAGCGGGCCCAGCAGGCAGAAGAAGAAGCTGGCAGCGGGGAAACCAGGACTGGATTCAAGGGGGAGAGGAGGCTAGAACAGAGGAGAAAGCCTGGCTAGCTGGATCAGCAGGACCGAAAGGAGGGGGAACTAAGAGCTCAGTGGGGCGGGCAGGGTGTAAGTAACCTGAAGGGCTAGGTGGTCTTGGTCTCAGTGTAGACCACACCTTCCTGCCTCCGAGCACCTTGCTCATTTCTGCCCCAAGTCTGCACAGTGCCTAAAGGAGGAAGCGGCGTGCCAATTTTCCCGCTCTCTGCGCTGCCGGCCACTTTGTATCTCCTCCCTTTAACGCCCTGAGAACTCAAAAGGAGTGATTTAAAAGAAAGAATAAAAGAGAACCAGAAGGTGATCGGGATGATGTGTCTCCATTGGTAGCGATCTTGCCTTGCATGCATTAAGTCCTGGGCTCCATCCCCAGCACCAAAATAAATAAATGAATAAATAGATAAATTTAAATACCCAAAGTTCAGAAAGAGCAATCCCGAACAAATATTGCCTATTTACACATCCAACACTGTGTCTTCTCTCCCCGGTGGGATCTCAGTTTCCAGTAGCTGGGAAGGCTCCCCGGATACAATTGCTGAGAAGAGAGCCTAGGAAAGGGGGCTGCACTGACTAGCTCTGGAGTTAGGGGAGGCCAGAGCCAAGGCATGAAGTAGATCTGGAGACTGCCAGGTGGGGGTGGTTCAGAGAGTACCCTTTGCTTACTTAGCCAGGATCATCTTCGGTACTCTCAAAGATTTTTACCTAGCATAGATGAAATGCTGGGTTCCTCCCCAACACCCCATAAAACTAGACATGGTGGCCCACGTGTGTGTTTCCAGGTCTGAGATAGAGCAGAAGAATCAGGAGTTCAAGGTCATCCTCAACTACTTAGCAAGTTTGAGGCCATCTTGGGTTACACGAGACCCTGCCACAAAAACAAACAAGTTAGGGCAGGAGTTGAAATAACAGGGAACTATGTTTAGCAAAGAAGGGAAAAGGGTCTTTAGAGGTGTGGAGTGCATACAAAACAGACTCCAGCTAGGCCTGGCCTCACAGGCCAGCTCCTCCATAAGCCACTCAGGAAGCTGAACCGGGAGCATTCTAAGTTCAAGGCCAGCCTGGACAGTTCCATGGGCTGATTCTGCCCAGAGGCTGGACCTCCAGATAGGACCCCTGTTTTTAGGGGTAGGGGAGGAAAAAACTACTATATAATTTGAGACTCAGAAAGGTTCCACTCCCAGCCCAAAGGCTTGCTGGTGCCTTACTCCCTGTCTCATAGATTGTATGTCTCTGGCCCCGATGTCACCTCCTCAAAGTTGCTGCCACAATTGTCTGCCTGGGGGCGGGGAGACACCATCATGTTGGTGGCCACAGCCTTGCCCTTAAATCTGCCTCTTAGGAGAAAAATCTGGAGCTATAGAGATGGCTTAGTGGTTCACCCGCTAATTTTATAAAGGACCCAGATTCAGTTCCCAGCACAAGCCTGGCAGCTCACAACCATCTGTCACTCCAGTTCTAGGGAATCTGGCGCCGTCTTCTGACTTCTGCTGGTACCAGGCATGCAAGTGCTACACAGATGTACACGTAAACAAAACACTCATAAAGTAAAATAAATCTTACTCAGAAAGTAAATAAAAAACCAAAAAAAAATTCTACTTTTATTTTTCAAGACAGTGTTTTTCTGTATAGCCCTGGCTGTCCTGGAACTCTCTCTCTCTGTAGATCAGACTGGCCTTGAACTCACAGAGATCCTCCTGCCTCTTCCTCCCAAGTGCTGGGATTAACAGAATGCACCATAACCTGTGAAAAATGAAATTTCAAAGAAGAACCTGCCTCAGCTATGCCTACTTTGTCTGGCTTCTTAGAGAATGGTCTAGACAAATCCAAGACGCACATATAATTTGGAACTTATGACTTATGCAATCTTACTACCCCTCACCCTGGCTCAGACAACCTTTGCCCAAATGTCCAGAAGGCAGAGCAGGTGGAAGTGTGGGACCCCACAGCCCCAGCTTCATCACACAGCCTGTGGCAGCTGAGGCCAGTCAGCTCACCTCTCTGTGCTGGGGATAATGCTCTTCTACACTGTAAAAACTTGTTCATTTGTGTTGGTTTAATAAAACACTTATTGGCCAGTAGCCAGGCAGGAAGTATAGGTGGGGCAACCAGACTAGGAGAATTCTTGGAAGAGGAAAGGCAGAGACGCAGTCACAAGCCAGATGCAGAGGAAGCAAGATGAGAAAGGCTTACTGAGAAAAGGTACCAAGCCACGTGGCTAACCATAGATAAGAATTATGGGTTAATTTAAGTTGTAAGAGCAAATTAGCAGTAAGCCTGAGCAATAGGCCGAACAGTTTATAGTTAATATGAGCCTCTGTATGTTTCTTTGAGACTGAATGGCTGCAGGACTGGGTGGGATAGAAACTTCCATCTACAACTCTGAGCTTCACACTGATCTGGACAAAGTGACCAGCACTTACTTTAAGGAAATTTTGTGTTGAGAGATTGTGTGTGCAGCTTAGCCTAGTGCTGGCTCGGAGTGCAGATTCTGTTAAAGAAGCTGGTGTTTATCTACTCAGTCTACACCTCAGTCTCCCAGGGGACACCTGCTCATAGCATGGTGGCTGTCATCTGAGCCAGGTTCCTTCTCAGGCCTGCAGTCAGGGGTCTGCTCCTCTAAATCTTTACCCTTTAGCAAGTACTAGGGAGTATATCCCTAGTCTTGAAAAAACAAAACAAAACGACAACAACAAAAAAGCACTGGTTCTTTTCTTTTTCTTTTTTTTTTTTTTTTTTTTTTTTTTTTTTTTTTTTTTTGAGACAAGGTTTCTCTATGCAACAGTCCTAGCTGTCCTGGAACTAGCTCTGTAGACCAGGCTGGCCTTGAACTCACAGAGATCCGCCTGCCTCTACCTTCCGTGTGCCAGGATTAAAGGCGTGTGCCACCACTGCCCAGCAAAGCACTGGTTCTAAATCGGCCTTCATAAACCTCATGGTATGGGGGAGCCCACTGTGTCCCCTGGTGCCAAGGCCACTCACTTGGGGCAGAGGGGAATTGACTGCTTCAAAGATGCAGTCTGTGCTCGCTCACATCCAGGTCCAGCAGTCGTCTGGGTAAAAGGGGGAGCTGGGGAACTGCCAGGTTCTGATGGGAGCGATTATAGCCAGTTTCCTAGTCTTCCCCGGGGAAAGCGAATGTGGAGGCTGGCCTGAGATCCCTTCTTAAGCCAGTGAAGTGGATGAAGAGATAAAGGCAGCTGAAAAGAGCTGAAAACAGCAAAAGCAGTGGGACTCCTGAGCACACTGGAGAACCCAGCCCCCCGTCACCGGTCCCCCGGCTGCAGAGCCAACAGTCAGGATGACCCTTCATTCACCAGGGCCAGATCATTTTATTTAACTATCTTTTGACGTCTACTATCATCCAATGGGATGAACTTCCCTTTTATTTCATCATTATTGACTTATGTATACAGGTGTTTTGTCTGCATGTATCTCAGCACCACCTGTGTGCCTGGTGCCCGCAGAGGCCAGAAGAGTTAGAGCTGGTCGTGAGCCATGGCTTGGATGATGGGAATCGAGCGTGGAAACAGCCGCCAGCATTCTTAACTAATGAACCGTCTCTCCAGCTGCTACACAGAGTTAATTTTTTGTAAGAGGTTCTTTATCTGAATTTCCTGTAGATCCCAAACTCCGAGTAACAAGAACACCAGTAATCAGGCTAAGTCAGCATAACTATGGGATAAGTTAGTGGCCAGAGGACTGGGGGCATCTCTCCTCTCTTTGGATTGGATAATTTCCAGCGTTCTCTAACCTCCCCCCCCCCCCCCGGCACAGGGTTGGGGATGGGGATGAGTTAACTACAAACATCTCAGAAGGATCTAGAAAAGGAAAGAAATAGTCACAGAGCCCCTTACAGGCACCTGGAGTGGGGGTAGGGGTCTGTGCTGGGCGCCTTCCACATAGCACCTGGAAACGGAATACACAAACTCAACCTACCCAACTCATATTACTATTGAAGAAGTGCAGACTAACTAGGGTTCTGCCTGTCAGCCTGGCTCCCATTCTCTTCATAAACTCGGATGTCAGCAGCTCAGAGACATTGGAGGAAGGGTCAGTTAAATCTTAAAAAAAAAAAAAGAAAGAAAAAGACTTGAGTCATTCCCAGTGTGCCCTCCGTCTCTGTTCCCTGCTTGTGAGCTCTCTAATGTCCTTGCTGCTATGTCTTTGCTATGCCATCATGGACTCTAGCCCTCTGAAACCATAAACCCAATTAAATACTTTTTGTTGTTGTTGTTGTTTGAGACAGGATTTTCCTATGTAGCTCTGGCCATCCTGGAACTCTCTCTGTACACCAGGTTGGCCTCGAACTCTGAGATCTGCCAGTCTCTGTCTGCCTCTTGAGGGCTGGGATTAAAGGTGTGAGTCACACCACCCTGTTAAACACTTTCTTTTATGAAAGTCATGGTGTTTCGTCACAGCAAGAGAAAGGTAACTAAGACACCCACCCACTTTGGACAGCCTCATTCCCTGGGCTGGTATCCCGGGCTGCACGAGGAAGAGAATGTAGGCTGAGCACAAGCATTCACTATTCTCTTTCCTGGCCGCAGATGCAGTGTGGCCTGAAGCCTCAAGCTCCTCACCCTGCGACTTCTCTACCATGGTGGACTGTAGCCTCAAACTGTGGGGCAAAATAAAACCTTTTCCTGTAAGCCGCTTTTGCTGGGGTATTCTACCACAGTGAGCATATTCTAAAGGCAGAGCATCTAGGTTCAAATCCTGCCTCTACCACGTAGAAGCTGATTGATTAGCTATAGTCCTCTGGAGGACCAGAATCAATAGAATGAATCCGTAGTAAAAGGGGATTAGTTAGACTGGCTTCCAAGGTACAGTCTGGGTAGTCCAACAACACGTGTATTCAAGCTGGAGAGGATGAGAAC